CCTGGGCAACTAGTGAGTTCCAGGTCAGTCTCAACTACACAGTGAGAGCCTGTCTCAAAACACCAAAAAACAACAAAGAGAGAGAGAGAGAGAGAGAGAGAGAGAGAGAGAGAGAGAGAGAATGTCTCTTCACTTTCTGAGCCTTAAAATAGTTTACTTATGCAGCCTGGAGAGGGGGCACACATCTGCAACCCCAGCTCTTGGGAGGCTGAGGCAGGAGGATCGCTGCAAGTCCGAGGCCATCCTGGGCTACATAGAAAGATCCTCTCAAAAAAACAGTTAAAAATAAGTTGACTTAATAAATCTTACTTTGTCCGGGTGAAGGCAGAGGTTCCTCCACACCCAAGGACAAGAAGGGAGCCCTGGGAACAAAGAATCAGCAGAGAGCAAGGTTCTGGGTGTGTAAGGCTTGGGGATCACGCTACCTGGACGAGAACTCTGAGAGTAGTTAACAAAAGAAAGACGCGCCCGCGCCGAATGATGTTGCTTACGGCGCTTAGCAAGAGATTTCTGAACTCAAGAGTTATTACTATGTCATTTAATAAGGTCATAAACACACCATAGGCCCAGAGACTGGTTCTGCCCTGCGAAGGATAGAGGATGGAGAAGCCAGGTGTGGTGGTGCTGCCTGGGAGGCTGAGGCAGGAGAGTCTCAAGTTCATAGCCAGGGCAATTCGGGGACTCAGGGAGACCCTGTCCCAAAACGAAAGCAAAAAAGGGCCGGGGGTGAGGGTGCAGCTCAGTGTGAAAGGGCCTGGGTTCAATCTCCAGGGCCACAAAAAAAAAACAACGAAGAAAGGGACAGAGAGAAGAGAGGACCGGAAGAGGGCACGTCTAAAGACCGGAGAGAAGGAAGTGAGAGAAGACAGACCCGCAAATCCAGGACAGGAAGGAAGGAGCGCCCGCGCCGGGTCACCGGCCGCCAGACCTGCCTGGCATGCCCCGCCCCCGGCGAGAAAAACCCAAACCGGTAACCTCTACCCGGCCTCCTCTCATTGGCTGTGCGCTGAGCGACGTCCAACTTGACCAATGGGCCGCGGCCACGCGTTTTTTGGTATCAGGGAGCCAACTGGAGACCTTGCCCTTGTGAGGCAGGCAGTGATGCCACTGAGCTGAATCCCTGGCCTTTCCATGG